ATTTCAGCCTAATAAACAAAACAAGCAACAAATCAAAAATGGCAATTATTATGGAAAACCAGGCAACCAGTAATACAAATTGGTGTGTCAATTGCCTATGTAAACTTAAACAAAGTTCAAAGGTTATTTTTGGTTTTTCTACGATGTTGAAGGTTTAAAAAATGTAAAACAAACATATAGTGTGGGTTTAAATTCAGAATTCGCAGTTCTCTGATAAACTTTTTGTCCGTCTAAAAAATTTTATTTTTAAACCGAATTTTTATTTGGTCAGTAATTTCTTATCAAAAATATGGTTTCAAATGACAAAACTTAAAGATAAAAAATTAAAAAAAAAATTGTCAAGAAAATTCGTTGTTTTAATTCCCGGTCAAATCTTCCATGACACTCCCAAAACTGATGCAACCACAAATACACAAATGTGCGTACGTATGCCGACTATTACCAACCTTAACAAATTGCAATGAAGCGCGCAAATTGAAATTTGGAAATTTTAAACGTGAATATCTCGAAAAGTATGGATCGTACGTAAAAATGAAGTATGTCAAAAAAGATGTACAATGAAAGGTTCTACCAAATGGTTTAATCAAATTTGATTTTGACGATCCTACAGTCGAGTGTAATTTTTTTACAAAAACAGCAACTCTCCAGTCAATCATGAATCCTTTCAAGCAACGCCGCCCTCCTCTCCGTATTCTGAAACAGCGCCCTTACAAGCTGCCTCAACTCCACCGCCTTAAACTGCAGCCCCAGTGGCCCCTTCCCATCCGCCCACCTATCATTAATATCCAACAAATTCGCACTCAAAACAAACGCCACCTCATTCACCTTATACCAACTCCCCACAAACAACGCAACTTCTTTCGCATCACTAAACAACTTCGGTCCTCTAGTCTGCACCATCTTGAACAACTCCACCAACTGCTCGGCCGCATCCGACGAAATATCCTCAAATTTGACAACAACACCGATCAAATAATCGCACAACGAGCTCAAAATCGCCCCCAGACTCTTATTATAAACCTCATACGGCAAGACTTTCACCCACACCGTCCTGAGCAACTCCTGCTGTCTCAAACACTGTCTGAGACACTTCTCAGTGGCCCCATCCACCACCTCCAGAGTCTGCCTCGACCCCAAACCAGACCCTTTCATAATCTCCTCAATTTGCTTCATTTGGGAGTTGACACAAAGAGTAAACTTCTCGGTCGCGATTTCGTGGAGTTGCAAAACTTCCTCCGCAAAGTTGGCCTCGGTTTTAAGCACCGGCGGGAGTTTCGTCACATAGGTGTCGCTCCAATCGCACAGATTATGCGCAATAAACATGCAATTGTTATAGAAAAGCGCCACCTGTTGGGGGATAGTTTGAAGAAACTTCTTGTGATGTTCTGGTACAACAATTATGTAGTTTTTGCAGATTTTCTTAACAGTGTAGATGAGACGACCAGCGCACACTTCCGACGACGTTGCCGCTTCGGTCAAAATCTCCTCTAGGAATTTCAACAAAGTGACAACACTGCGCGAAACGCCACAACGGGGGAACCCCCGATTGGGCTCAAGACAAGCCTGCTCCTCCCCAACTTCCACGAAATCGTGCAAATCCTTCTTCATTAACTCTTGCGATGAAACTAAATACTCCTGACATTTCTTATTAATGAACAAAATATCGATGTTGTTGGCGTAGTCGATGATTGATGTGGTGTCTTGTGTGAAGATTTTCGCCTTAAAGAGGCTCTCCTCCAAGTCTTCAGTCGCTTCAATCACTTTTTTATACTCTTCTAAGCCCTGTTTCGTCGACGGGATGGTGTCTTGGAGGCAACGTTTGATAATCAATTCTGATAAGTTGTCTCGGAGGTCGCGCCCGATGTAGTTTAAAGTCGACAAATCCTCGAGTAGACTAACATCAAAATTGTCCAATAAAAACGCTAAAATCGATTTTATCTTAGCGAAAACTTCAACGTATGAGGATTTTTTGTTAGGGTCAACTGTGACCACCTCAAGGACACTGAAACCGTCCTCTTGGTGGATTTTAACCTCATTTGTGGAGTCCACAACGGGGACAAAAACATGGTTCCATAAAAACTTGGTCACGCCATCCAACACAGCAACAGAATGGTTATCCAAATACAAAGCCAACAAAACATCTTCGAGTTGTTCATCGTTTTTGATTTTCAAGACACTTTTGTTGCTCCCAGCTTGGCACTTGACTCGATCTTGGAACAAGTTTCTTAAAGTTCGATGCAGGGAAGCTTTCACTGAGTAAGCCTCCATTTTCATCTCCTCCACAACCTCCAAATTCTCCTCGAGGTCTAACCTGTCACTCAACTCCTTAATTCTCTTGAATTCCTTCACGCAAGAAAAAAACGACTCCTCCTCTTGCAACTCCCGTGTTTTCAAAAGCGCCTCATGCATTTGAAACACCGCCGTCACGAGGGAAATCTCAATATTGGCCCTGGTGAGTGTCTCAGTGTGTTTCTGGAGCTCACACTCGGATTTTGTTAATTCGGACCGCTTCAATYCTTCCACGTTGTCTTTAAGGGTCTTTATGTCGTCTTCAAGTCTGGCGATTTTATCAGCCAACGCTTTATTCCTCCTGGGGCGTTCGCTGAACTGCACGTAGAGGTTCTCCAAGTGGGACAAGACTTCGCGCTTGCAGGACTCCACGAGGGATGCGAGTTCGGGGCACTTTGTGTTAACGTGCTGGATTTCCATTTTTTCAGCGGATGATAACACTTCGGCGAGGAAAGAACCCATTTTGAGGAGTTTTTTCCGAAAAACTAACTGACAGTTTTATTTGACAGATTCAAATAAGTCACCAGACAGGAGCACCAACCGACTTTCTTGTACGATTTTAACAACAATATCATTTACTGTGCTTGTTTTCATAAACACGTTAATGCATATTGTTCAAAAAGGAAGATTGTAGTAGCGTACTAGTAACACAATTTTTTAATTTGTTAGGTTTTAAGGAAGTTTTACACGGTTAGTGACTAGAGTGTTGTTTGGTTGGCAATAGCGCTACAACCTCAAACTGTAATTTAAAAAACAATTTTGAGATTTTCATTTTTTTACGGATAATAACACCTCTGTGAGGAAAGAACTCATTTTGAGCCATTTTTTGCAAAAAATTTTATTTGACACACTCAAATAAGTTTTCAGACAGGAGCACCAGCTGACTTATTCAAAACATTTTTTGTTTTGAATTGGGCAAGTTTTTATATTCAATTTAATACATTATTGAAAATGGATGATTGTAACGACGTAGTAGTAACAAAATTATTTTATTTATTAGATTTAAAAAAAGTTTGATCGTTAGTAATTGTAGTCTTGTCTGGTTGGCGATAGTGTTATAACCTCAAACTGTCATTGACAAAAACAAACAATTTWGCGATAAAATTGTTTAACAATGTTGGACGGCTGGTATTGCCGTTCAATGGCGAACGCGGCGAGTCTAGCCGAAGAGGAGGAGCGCTCTCAGGAGGAGTCCAAATTCAAAAAAGAGTACAAATTCCTCAAACGCAAGTTCCACAATTTAGTTTACGTAAGTATGAGACTCGCCAATGCACATCTACAGCCCCTTTCAGGAAAATGAAGCTCTCATGCAAGCCCTCCGCGCCGCCCAAAAGCGCCTCTTATCCGTCACCCGAGACAGGACTTTCCTCCTCGACCGCCTCCTTTTGCACGAAAAAGTCGACAATTCCACCTCAGAATCGGAAGAAACCGACTCTTCGGACGACGGCGAGCCCGTCAAAGTGGAGGCACCGGCCAAAAAGTGCGTGGGGCGGTTTTACTAGGCCTTTTTAGACTCATTTTTGTCTTCAGGAGAAAACTCGAGAATTCGTTCAATAACGGCCCCGGGAAAGTGTTACCAGCGGCGAAAAAAAAGCGAAACCCGGCCCCCAGACCGGCCAAACCCGTGGCACACCACACTCTAGTACACATGCCTGGGAGCTCCACTAGCAACATTTTGTCGGACGGGCACATGACCCCCGAGGAGGTGGAGAGGCATTTGCAAGCGCAGAATTACGTGGAGTTGGTGCCCGAGAGGGCGCCCCCCACCGTACCCACAGAGATGTTCAGTAATGAACCTTCACTTGACAGGTAATCTTTATATTAATGTGCATCAAGTAGGTTGTAGAAGTCTAAATGCATCCTTAATTTAAAGGCCAATTCACACAAAAAGTGTCATTAATGTCATTCAAAATCACATCAATAATGACAAAAATCTTTAAGTTTGCTACCCTTTGTTAACTACGTTGTTATTTTTAATGATTTTTTGCTACCTGCGGTACACATTTATTTGAAAAAATAATTTTTAAAAAAGATTGAGGTTAGGATTATTTGAATTTTCGCAMGGTTGCCACCTTAAAATGATTCCTTTCAACGACTACTTCGATGCACATTAATATGAGTTTTGTACTACACTAATTCACTAAAATTGAATTTTGTAGCGAATCTAATGATGTGGGGGAGCTGGAGACTTCGCCTAGTAACATGGGAGAGGAGCTAAGTATTGACATGATACCTGAATAGTGATATTTTATAAAATTAAAATTTTGATAAAAAATTATTCTCCGCTATCACTACTTTTATAGTCACTATCGTCACTATCCTCACTCAACTCAATATTAACGTTACCATCTTGCAATTTGACGTATTTTTCKACGATTTCTTGCAATTTTCGGTCACCTTGAGTCCGACTTTCTTGCAATTTGGTTTTCAATTCTTGATCTTTGTTCGCGGGATCTTCGTTAAGTGTGATAAAACCGCAATGAACTTCGTAGAGTTCCTTCTTCCGTTTCATTTGTAGCAAATTTCCCATTTTCGTGAAACAACTCTTACTTTCCTCCCGAATCTCGTTTTCCGATAACTCCAAATTGTGCTCCTTGACACACTTCCTCACACATTTCTCTATATCGTAATAGGTGGGGAACCGATTGTGTTTGTAAGACTTCGTAATGGCCCGATTAATTTCGTTATACTTCGAGTGAACAAATTTGATTTTTTCGTAGAGAAGTCGTCCAGCGAAGGGATTTCTATGCAAAAGTTCACAATACTTYTTGTAAACTTTGTTTARTCTATCTGTATATCTGTCCAGCTTCATGTACGTCGAATCCTCCTCGTCGTTAAAATCCACTTCGGCCTCCTCCAGCCTCCTGATGACTTTCATCAACTTCTTGAGCGTTTTTTCCAATTTCCGGATTTTGGGGAGGTTTTCCTCCGGGACTTCCACACTGTCGCCCTTGATGTGGTCGAGGATGTACGAGTAGAGTCTCTGGAAGCTCACCACCGCTTCGGGGGCGGAGCCCTTGGCGCTCTCCGTGAAATCCTGCAAGGTTCTGTGAAAGTTGGGGTCGTTGTGAATCTCCTCGCACTTGTTGAAGCTTTTGCGCATTTTTTGGTACTTGGGGAACACTCGATCGGCGTATTTTGAGTCTCTCATCGATTTTGTGCAAACGTCGAGGAACTCCTCGAGGAGATTGTGGGCTTCAGAGGCTTTGGAGGTGGAAGGCCGGACGATGACTTCGTAATTTTCGGGGTTAGGGGGGGCCGAAGCGCAGTTTTGGGTTGGAGGAGGGACCACAAGGGGGTCCCCTTCGACTTCAGTCTCAGATTCGGAGCCAATAACCAAGCATTCCTCGGTGGTGCTTTCAACTTTGAGACAATCAACGGCAGTTTTCTCCTCTGAAAAGAATGAAATCACAAATTGGGGTTTAAATATCGAATTTTTTTACTTATTTGGGGCTCATTGTCTTCAAAAGAATCATCAATTAGGTTAACTACGGTTTCATTCTCYTTGCCTAAAACACACACTTAGGAAGAACAATTTTAACATAACGACTCACTTTTGTCTTCAATTGTTATCAAATTGGTCTCCTCCTTGTAAATGACTTTAATTTCCTTATCTGGAATCAAATAAATCGTTGAAAATTCATACAAAGATTAATAAATACCTTCACATGGTACTGCAGTTATCTCCTTGAGTCTATTTACTGAAACCAAAGAAAATGTAAATATACGTGACCACAAAACAAAAAAATATAACAAAATCAACTTTGTATTTACATTTTCTCTGAATCTACACTTACATAAAAATACATACATTTTTTAATAATAGAGTTGGTGGTTTCAGTGTGCCCTAAAATTTAACTCTCAGATTAGGTAAACAACGAGTGAGGGTACCTGATAGAAACTTGAGTTTCTTCGGAGGGGGGCTCTCAAATTCATCATCAGAAGATAAAGTTATGACTTCACCACTATACATCTTTCGATGTTTTACTTCCTGAAGACACAACAATATAAACCACAMTTGCACATAATAATCTCACTAAATTAATTAAAATATAATAAAATTGTGTGGTTCTTTCAAAGTTAGGTTATTGAYGTTTCTAGTTTGACGTTTTTTCCACGAAAATCCCTACATCGGTAATCTAAGAAAAAAATATTTYAAGTCTCGAATCTAATTCTTCGCAGTTTGTTTTGGTCACGTAACAAGTTTGACTTACCCGCCGCATTAATAGGCAAAAACATTAACGATTTGTTTGAGAAATTAGAAAAATTGTAAACTAGTGTGCTTTTCTTTTGTTGGCAACACTGAAGCATCTTTGTTCAAAAGTTGAAAATGTCTTCGAATAAGATTTTACAAAGCAACGCTGAACGTTTGGGGATACGAGACGCCCCCACAATACAGTAAACAGCCCCTTTGTGTCGTATCAAAACTCACGATTATTTTCAGGAAAGCTGAAAGTTTTTTACGTGTTCTTAACACTAAACCGGCCTCGAAGACCCTCAGCGATGTCGGGAAGATAATCATGTGTCTTGATTTAGCCGCGACTATTCTCGGAGTGGGGTTTGATAAGGTGAGAACCGGTGTTTAAGACTTGAATGCAGCCCCCTTGTGCCCTAGGACACGGCTATAAAACTATCAGGGTTGCGGAAAAGTGGCTATCAGAACAGTCTCAACAATCTTGAAAAGATCCTCAATTTGGATAAACCAATCACAGTGTCGGAATTATGTGTACAAATGAGTTGTACGGAAGTCAAAGACATGGCAGAGACAATTTTAACCAATTACAAAGAACGTGACACGAAAATAAAGGATTTGGAACACCCACAATATGTGGCAGCAGCTGTCCACACGAGTTGCAAGTAAATAATTAATTTCTCTTAAGAATAAATTGTATTTTTAATTTTTGTTAGATTAAGTGGCATTAAGGTGGATAAATCGCAGTTTAGGGCAATAAGTCGCCTCAAGATGGCACAATGGAATGAGTTACTTGAGGAGTTTAGTAAATTTGCGACTTCCCTGGGGCTAGCAAGTGGGAAAAAGCGGCCCAAAAAGGGGGTTGTGGATCAAGAAACGATGGAGATTGACGGTGTGGCACAGCCCCCGAAACCCAAGGAAAAAGTGCAAGTCATTGAAGAGTACGAAGTGTGGAAACAGAGGATATTGCAGGAGGCCTCCGCTGAAATTCTCAGAAACACACTTGAAGAATAACTTTTTTCRCTATTCGCTACTATTTATTAAAGCTAAGTTTTACAACAATCCTGAGACTCGCCTTTCTCTGAATACGAACGATTGTACTTTAAATGACTTTTAACCAACTGTCCTGTCGCTAAAGCCGCCATTAGCGACAACTCCCCTGCGAGGACTGTCGCACAAACAATCCTCGCCAACTGCTTGGAATTCGCCCCGGGGGACTCCTCGTTGGGGCCGCGCACCCCCAACATGTCCAAACACGCAGACTGGGCCGGGAGGATGGTACCACCGCCGATGGTACCGATCTCGATCGACGGCATGGTGCAAGAAACGTACAAATCCTGACCACTGGGCCCCCATGGCTCCATAATGGTAATACAGTTACTACTAGCTATGTTCTGGGCCGGGTCCTGGCCCGTCGCGATGAAAATCGCAGTCACGATGTTGGCAGCGTGCGCATTGAACCCCCCTGAAAGAAAAAAATTTAAAGTGGCTGTGATTCTGAGATTAAGTTGGCAACATTGAACTATAAATGGCCGATTTTTATCATAAGTTGGCGTCAAATCCAAGATTTTAGTTTGGCAAGTTTAATTGACAGTGTTGCCAGTCCAAAATAATAAAATTCACCAGAACCCAGTTGAAAAATCTTTACTAGCTTGCAAGATTACGTAAAAATATGTATAACGTAATTTTTTTTATAACAAATTAGTGATTTTTGACCTAAAATTTTGCAAAAAACGGAGTTTTTTACATAAAAATTTGCTTAAACTCTCAAAAAAGACAAAAATGACGTAATTTTCGGTCCAATTCTGTGATAACTTGGCTTGTTTTCAACAAAACTTTGCGAAATAAGTGCTAAAAACGGAGAAATGCAAAAATAGTATAATTTCCGGCTTAATTTATTGATTTTTTGGTTTGTTTTAGCAAAATCTCGCGAAGGGCCTGAGGTTTTAATACAAAAACATGTTCGACTAAATTTTATAGATTCTCTTCTTATTTTAGTCTTAATTTTGCTCAAAAACAAGTTAAATCGAGTGAAACGAACGAAATAACATAAATACCAATTTTTTTTTATTCTTATGGGTGGTCGGACAAGGTTGTTTAGCCTGTTTAAATGGTCTTTTTCCGTTTTTTTTATCTCAAAAAACGTGCTTAAATATTAGAAAAAGGTTAAAAAAAACACTATTTTAAGCCCATTTTGTTGAAGTGATGGCTTCTTTTTAACACAATTTTGCGAAATAGTTGTTTTTCTAGCTGAAAAACGTGTTAAAACGCCCGAGAAATGCAAAAATAATATAATTTTCGACTGAATTTGATGATTTTTTGGTCTATTTTAGCAAAATATCGCGAAAAAACTGAGATGGTTGCATCGAGAATTTGGTTAGGCTCATTATTCCTCGTAATCACCCTGTATGTATAATGTAATCTTTTTTATAACAATTTAGTGATTTTTGACCTAAAATTTTGCAAAAAAACTAAGTTTTTAACCTAAAAATTTGCTTAAACTCTCAAAAAAGATAAAAATAACATAATTTTCGGTCTAATTCTGTGATTACTTGACTTGTTTTCAACAAAACTTTGAGAAATAAATGCTAAAAACGTTAGAGAAATGCAAAAATAGTATAATTTTCGACTTAACTTATTGATTTTTTTTGGTTTGTTTTAGCAAAACCTCGTGAAAGGCCTGAGGTTTTAATACAAAAACATGTATGACTAAATTTTGTAGATTCTCTATTTTTGTCTTAATTTTGCTCAAAAACAAGTTAAATCTAGAGAAACAAACAAAATTCTTTTTGTAATTTTTATGCGTGTTTGAACAAAAAAAATTCCGATTTTTTTGTTTTTATCTCAAAAACGTGCTTAAACATTAGAAAAAGATAAAAATAACACCATTTTAGGCCTATTTTGTTGAATTGATGGTTTCTTTTTAACACAATTTTGCGAAATAGTTGCGTTTCTAGCAGAAAAAAGTGCTAAAACGCCCGAAAAATGAAAAATTAATAAAATTTTCGACTTTATTGATTTTTTGCTTTATTTTAGCGAAATATCGCGAAAAAACTGGATTTTACTACAAAAATGTGCTTAGATTTTGTGATTTCTCGGCCTACTTCTGCTTTAATGTTGCTCAAAAACCAGTTAAATATAGTGAAATATAGAAAATAACATGAATATTTATACTTTGTGATTTTTATGCGTGTTTGGACAAGATTTCGCAAAAATAAGGGGGCTTCTAGTTCAAAAACGAACTAAATCGATCGAAACAAGCAAAAGTATCAATTTCGATTTATTTTTGTAGTTTCTTAGCCTGCATAAATGAAATTTTTCGAAAATTATTTTATATCTGAAAAATGTGCTCGAAAAAGGCAAAAATAACATCATTTTTGGGCTGTTTCGTTGAATTTTCGGCTTGTTTTTAACGAAATTTAGCGAAATAATTGTTTCTAGCTGAAAAATTGTGAAAAAAAAAACCTCAAAAATGACATAATTAGAAAAATAAATCAGTTTTTTCATTTCCAAATCACCAGTCTCGTATGAAAATCACCAGATCTGTTGAAATTTCACCAGACCCAATTAATTCAATGTTGCCAATAGATATTTCATTCAGTCTTGCCAACATAATTTGCGAATTTACCAATACTGCCGGCCATGGCTGAGCCAATCATATTCTTGGAAGTGTTCAAATCGACCAAAACTTGCGTCGACGACTTTAATACGGACGAAACGACATCACCCGAAACTACTGCTTCACAAACTACGGACTTCCCCCGTCCTTCGATCCAATTCACAGCCGCTGGCTTCTTATCCGCGCAGTAATTCCCACTCAGACTCAAAATTTCCATCTCGGGGAAGAACCTTTGTACGAAAAAGAGCGCTTTTTCCGTCCCTTTCGACAACATATTCATGCCCATTGCATCCCCAGTCTCGGCTACAAACCGCAAAAACAGATATCTACCAGCAACACGACTTGTAATCCGCGATAATCGCGCAAAACGACTCGTCGCATCGAAATTTTCCTTGACTCGGAGAAAATTCTCCTGTTTTTCCAGCCAAAGGGCGACTTCGGACGCCTTCGTAATGGAATTGAAACGCACGACGGGCCCCCTTGTCATTCCATCAGCCACAATTCGGCTTTTAACCCCACAGTGTTCCACCGCGCGACAGCCCCGATTCACACTAGCGACAAGACAACCCTCAGTGGTCGACATGGGGATGTAGTACTCTTTACCATCAAGTACCAAAGCCCCAGCCACACCCAATGGTACCGGAATGTACCCAATCACATTCTCGCAACACGCCCCCATGACCTTGCTATAATCGTAGTGCTTGTAGGGGAGATTCAGGAACGCTGACTCACACTTAGCCAAAACTTGGATAAGTTGGCGTCGGATTTTAACCCCGCGTTCTTGATTCTTGACAGCTTTTTCCAAATTATAAGCCGGGAGGTGTTTAGTGTCGATAAGGAGGATAACTTCCTTATCGGTGAGTTTGGACGCCCCTTCTGAACGGTAGATTTGGAGACACTCTTCAAGACTTCGAGTGTGCCCCACGTCCAAAGTTTCAATTTCTTCATCATTGGTTTGGACTTCTTTTTCTTCGTTTATTGAATCGGTTTTAATGACACACTTTTGGCGTTTAAGGACGTGTGTGGAGTCGTCCATAACTTGTTTCAAGTGTTCTTCGTTTTCGAAAAACACGAATTTGATGATGAGAGTGATGACAAGGATGAGGATTACGATGTGATCAGCACTCAAAGCGAATTGTTTCATTAAATAACCGTAAATTGAGGAGTCATCAGCACAATTTTGCTCGGTTTTTGTGACATTGGTTTCGTTTTTCGAGACATCGTCTTTGAAAAACCATCGACTGTGGATGTGCACAGCTGTGAGACCGATTGACATGATGAGTTTCACTCTTTGAACCGCCGGATTTGCCTTTTCGTTCTCCTCTAACAGCATTTTCGAGACAAGGGGTTGCTTCTCACCGTAGAAATTCGAGACTCGTGACAATTCCAACATGAGGGACAAACACGCGGGGTAGAAAGTCATAAAAATAACGTAATTGACCAAGACTGAAAGACATGCAAAATACGAGAGCATCTCGAGGCGATTCACCCCCGATAGCGTCCCCACTCCTATGACTAGAGTCTCCACAACGGTGTCTAGAGTAATAGTGGGGCCTAACACAGACATGCCCCTCGCAATCTTACCCCCAATCTCCTCCTGACTCGAGGCAGTCAAGGCGAATTGGGCCAAAGTCGCCGCTTTGGACAAATCGATCAAAAGCAGGAAGAAGAACAAGGCGTCTTTCAAGTCGACTAAATCAATCTGGAGGAAATTCAACACGGTTGAAGTGAAGACGAAACTAGCGAACACGATGAAGAGCCCCGCGAGGCCTAGAATGTATTTCGAGCCGAGTTTTTGCAAGTTGCGGAATTGGTGGGAGCTGTAGAGGATGGCCAAGCAGCGGATTACCGTCATGACGATCACGTCCACGGCTTTGAACTGTTCTTCGAAGCAGCCGGGACAGGGTTGGGGCTCCGGGGGCTCGACGTGTTTTTGCTCCACGGTGAGGAGACAAGTCGTGAGGGTTATCACAGCCACCATTACCTCCCATGGGTGGGTGGCGCAGAACGCCCCGTATAAGCCAAACGCGCGAGACATCGCCGGTTGAACACATTTCTAAAAACACATTTTGGGGTTTGACACTAGTGACAGAAATCAGCTGGGCTACTATGCGCATGCGCTGTTTATTTATTACATAATTTGCCATTATTTGACTTAAATTGTTACAATAACAACGTCACGGATTGTAATTTGTTAGAAATAAAAATTCTGCGTTATAAAAACCAACAATAATGTGGTTTTTTCGAAATTTGTGTCTGGGGTTGCGCAATCGGGTGACGTAACGGTAGCCATATCCCGGCTCAATTGTATTTAAAATTTTGCGAGATTATTCTCTAATTTCAACAATAATCGCAACACGAATTAAAAATTATTAAAGATCAAAATTCCGGGATACAAAAACCTACAAAATGTAGGTTTTTTTTTGAAAATTGTCTCTGGGGCTACGTAATCGATTGACGTAACAATCGCCACATTCCGGCTCATTATTTAAAACTTTTGCACGATAATTCTCAAATTGTACAATAACAACGACACGGATTGTAATTTGTTAAAAATAAAAATTTTGCGTTATAAAAACCTACAGTAATGTTGTTTGTTCGAAATTTGTGTCTGGGGTTGCACAATCGGGTGACGCAACGGTAGCCATATCCCGGCTCAATTTTATTTAAAATTTTGCGAGATTATTCTCTAATTTCTACAATAATCGCAACACGAATTAAAAGTTATTAAAGACTAAAATTCCGGGATACAAAAACCTACAATAATGTTTTTTTTTTGATAATTGTGTCTGGGGCTACGTAATCGATTGACGTAACAATCGACACATTCCGGCTCATTTTTTAAAACTTTTGCATGATAACGACACGAATTGTAATTTATTAAATAATTTTTTCATAACATAAAATGTATAATAGTTTTTTCGTAAACTGTATCTGGAGTTACATATTGGGGTGACGTAACGATAGCCATATCTCAGTTCATTATTTAAAGTTTTTGCAAGATAATTCTCAAATTTGTACAGTAATAAGTGACATTAACCGCAACACGAATTGTCATTTATTAAAAATAAAAGTTCTGGGTTATTAAAACTCTCAAAAATGTTATTTTTCATACATTGTGTTTGGGGTTACATTACGCAACCATAACCACATCTCGGATCATTATTTAAAATTTTGCAGAATAAACTACTAGTACAGCAAAAAAACTGATCATTTGCACTCGAGAGATAAAAAAAGATGACATGTTGTGAATTTTATCATTTCTGAATAATGTCTCACGCAAAAGATACTTGAGATAAAATTTAGTAAATATTTTTATTTTTGAATAGATTTACAATTGCCTTTCGCACTTGGCATAACCTGGAGGAACACAAATACGAATTTCTAGATCAAATACATAATGACCGTAACATTCTTTAAGCAAATAGTTGCCTTTGTAGCAGTTAAAATATTTGCTGCAGTCGTAAGGATCTCTTCTCATTGACGAATCAAAATTAGTTGCACATTCCTGTCCTTCAAGATTACCTACATTTCCGTAGAGTAGTTTAATTAGCGCGTTTTTGTTAAATTTTTCTTTAACAACGTTGATTTCTTCCGATTCGCTTGAACTACTTGAATCATTAGAACTGCTACAATCGCTTGATGAACTTGAACTACTAGAATCGGATGAATCGCTAGAACTAGAATCACAACTACTTGATGAATTGTCGTCTGTTGTCGAACTAGTACTAGTTGATGTAGTTGGTCTAGTTGGCCAAGTTGGCCAAGTAGGCCAAGTGGGCCAAGTTGGCCATGTAGGCCAAGTTGGCCAAGTTGGTCTAGTTGGCCTAGTTGGCCTAGTTGGTCTAGTTGGTCTAGTTGGCCTCGTTGGTCTAGTTGGTTTAGTTGGTCTAGTCGGCCAAGTTGGTCTAGTTGGTCTAGTTGGCCTAGTTGGTCTAGTTGGTTTAGTTGGCCTCGTTGGTCTAGTTGGCCTAGTTGGTCTAGTTGGTCTCGCAGTTGAAGTAGTCGGACGGTGGGTTGATCTAGTTGGTCTAGAAGTTGAAATAGTCGGACTAGAGCTAGAACTAGTAGGTCTAGCAGTTGAATTTGTTGGATGGGAACTAGAACTAGGTCTAGCAGTTGACGTAGTCGGGTCTAAAGTACTAGAACTAGTAGATCTAGCAGTTGATGTAGTCGGATTTGAAGTACTAGAACTAGTAGACCAAGCAGTTGACGTAGTTGGAGAATAGGTAGTAGAACTAGTTGGGTTTAGACTACTAGAACTCGTTGGTATAGCACTGGATGTAGTCGGGTTGGAACTAGTAGTACTAGATCTAGTTGGCAAGATTGAACTTGTTCTATCTCTACATCCTACTTGTTCTGGATAATCGCAAACATTTAGTTTCGGGTTAAAATCTAGTCCTCCTGGACAGTCAAAAAGATATGGAACACCATTTGAACACTCGTAAAATTTGCTACAGTCCGTTTCATGAGGGAAGTAAACTGGATCTGGAGGGTCAATAGGAGGACATACCACGTCTAAAAATATTTTTGTGAAGTCTAGCACTTAAAAAAAATGTAATTTTACTTACTAGTACTGTCAACTAGAACACTAAAGATAGACACAGCAAAAACAATGATCTTGATCATTTTGATAAATAAACAAGATTGAACTTCCTATGCGAAAATATTTTCTTTTTATAGCATCAATCAGAATCAATCAGGTATTGTCAGGGACTGATTAAAATCTTGATGTCTGAGTACTTTTTGTCTTGTCTGAATTGAATTTGTAATTCTAATAGAAGATTTCAAATAGCTGACCAAAAAAACGTAGAGAGTTAGAGACATCTTGAGTTGAATACAATATTTTAGCAAATTTTCTTTAAGTGAAAAAATACACTTTTAATTAACAAAACAACATCAGTGATTCAAACAGGAGTCAAATATTCAATTTTTAAATAATTTTAAGTGTATTGAGATAAAACAACTCTTGATTGTCTTATCGTTCGACGATCCAACAATAGAAAAACATCTGAGGTGAAGAGAAAAACACATGACTAAGTACTCGGAAAGTTAGATTTTATTATTTATTTACAAAATTTCACATTTGGTATAAGTGGGAGGAACATAAATGCGTATAATTGATCTTATAGTGCTTATGTTTCTAACCTTATTCTTTCTTATATCTAAAAATATCTCAAAAATTATGCATCGTAGAGTATTTTAATCTATTGCATCGTGTTCAGCGCGTAATTTTTCGACTAAAAAAACATATTTCAAGCGTTTTTATTATTTAAGGTAAATTGACTATTTTTACGATTTTAGGTAAGTACCTACTACCTTCAAAAACTCGAAAAATTCGTAATTTTTTAAACTTGACCAAATAACGTTTTATGCATTTTTTTGAGTCTTTAGGACCTCTAGAAATGTAAAAAACGTTATATGGATCAATTATAAAGTAAAAAAATTTTTGGATTTTTGTCAAGATTTTGGTCGATTTTTGTCATCCGGAGCGCTCTATTGCCCATAACTCCGGACTTATTGGTAATAACCTCTTATATTTGGTACCGCTGGAAAGAGAATTTAATTTTCTATCATATACAAAAAAGATCAGTGTTCTACGATAAATAATTATTGAGAAAATATCTCAAAGTCAAAAATATGAAAAATATAAATCCGACTATAACTTCAAAACTGTTACGAATTTTGCAGTTTTCTTGACGCCAATCGATTCCCCAGAACATTTTACATAGGTTTACGTCAAAATATTATGTCACTGAGACACAGTTTTGCCGCAATTTACAAAATAAAAAAAAGTAAAAATGTGTTAACGATGTTTCCAGGCGTGTTCTCCGGTTAATTTTACATATAGTACTAGTTTTTCATAAGAATAAAAAAATGTTGATTTTTTGGTCATAATCGGATATAGTGCTTATGCTTTTAGCCTTATTCTTAACTTTATTACTCAATATCTCAAAAACTATGCATCGTAGAGTATTTTAACTTGTTGCATCGTGTTCAGCGCGTAATTTTACGTCTAAAAAATCATATTTCAAGCGTTTTTACGACTTTTAGTAAATTGACTATTTTTACGATTTTACTACCGCTCACCTTCAAAAACTCAAAAAATTCAAAATTTTTGAAACTTGACCCAATGTCGTTTTATGCATTTATTTGAGTCCTTAAGACCTCTAGAAATGTAAAAAACGTAAAATAGATCAATTTTAAAGATAAAATTTTTTTTGTTTTTTGTCGAGATTTTGGTCGATTTTTGGCACCCCGAGCGGTTTAATGGCAATAACTCCGGACTTATTAGAGATATCCTCCTATATTTGGTACCGTTGGATAGAAAATTAAATTTTCTATCATATAYTAAAAATTTCAGTGCTCTACGATGAATAGTTATCGAGAAAATTTCTGATAAAGTCAAAAATATTGAGAATTTAAATCCGACTATAACTTCAAAACTACTACGAATTTTGCAGTTTAATTGACGCCAATCGATTCCCCGGAACATTTTACATAGGTWTAGGTCAAAATATGATGTCATTGAGACACAGTTTTGCCGCAATTTACAAAATAAAAAAAACTAAAAATTTGTTAACACCCCCCCCTTAAAATCTAGTGTTTTTGAACATGTCTCAGATTCGATTTAAACCTATCTTATCCGATAGATTTTGACGCGCTAATTACGAATTTACCAACCACATTGGGCTATCTCCTTTAGTTTCGCCGCAATCGGCGTTTAAAAATTCAAAAWTTTTTTGCGAGATATCGACTTGGCTTTGGCCTCAGTCGATAGATTTTCTTACGCTGATTACGATGGARTTRRAHTBWTWGCTCTAAGTCTWATAGTTTGGCCGTAATCGCCGTTCAAAAAGTGAAAATTGTCAAAATTGTGAAACTTTAAACGYGTTTTTCTACGAAACTATAGRACTTAGAGCAAAARGCTAAAAACCATTAAAATTAGCTTAAAATTATCTATTTACTGGCGCAAACCGGAAGTCGCTCCGGGTTATGGTTCCGGGTACAGAGCCATTTTTAGTTTTTTCAAAAAAAAATTCATATCTCAAAAACTATGAGTCCTTAGGTCAAAACAGTTTATTCAGGCGTATTCTCCGGTTAATTTTACATATAGTATTAGTTTTTCATAAGAATCAAAAAATTTTGATTTTTGGTGCTTATACTTTTAGCCTTATTCTTACCTTTATTACTCAATATCTCAAAAATTATGCATCGTAGAGTATTCTAACTAGTTGCATCGTGTTCAGCGAGTAATTTTACGTCTAGAAAACCATATTTCAACCGTTTTTACGATTTTTAGTAAATTGACTATTTTTACGATTTTACTACCGCTCACCTTCAAAAACTCAAAAAATTCAAAATTTTTGAAACTTGATCCAATAACATTTTATGCACTTATTTGGGTCTTTAGGACCTCTAGAAATGTAAAAAACGTAAAATGGATCAATTTTAAAGTTAATTTTTTTTTAATTTTTGTCGAGATTTTGATCGTCTTTTGGTACCCGGAGCGCTCTAGTGGCAATAACTCCGGACTTATTGGCAACAATTTCTTATATTTGGTACCGTTGGAAAGAAAATTTAATTTTCTATCATATATTACAAAGTTCAGTACTCTACGATGAATAGTTATCGATAAAATTTCTGATAAAGTCAAAAATATCAAAAATTTAAATATGTCTATAACTTAAAAACTATTACGAATTTTTCAGTTTTCTTGACGCCAATCGATTCTCCAGAACATTTTACATAGGTTTACGTCAAATTAGCTTGAAATTATCTATTTACTGGCGCAAACCGGAAGTCGCTCCGGATTATGGTTCCAGGTACAAAGCCATTTTTAGTTTTTTTCATAAAAAATTAATATCTTAAAAACTATGAGTCCTAGGTCAAAACGGTTTGTACAGGCGTTTTCTCCAGTCAATTTTACATACAGGATGCGCCAGAGCTCGCGCCCCAGAGAAAAATGCCATATAAGGTAAGATACCAGGAACATGGAAAAAATGTTAAAAAAAATTTATCTATAAAAATTTCGAAGTTATGAGGGTTTAAAGTTCGCATTTTGACTCTATTTATTTCTGTTGGGAAAATAATTTTACAAGTTTTTTTGCTATAGGCTATTAAAAGAGGAAACAAGGAAGCTGTATCCTAAATTGTAACTCTGTTCAATGTTATTTGTGGCTTTCTTTGGCAAAATTTTTATACCTTTATTAAATAATTGTAAAAAAACATATTCAAGACATCATTAAATAGACATAAAAAATGTCATATGTCAAAAAGTAAATGTCGAAATTTTTTGACAGATAGAATTTTTTAAACATTTTTTTCATGTTCCTGGTATCTTACCTTACTTAAAAAATTTCTCTGGGGCGCGAGTTCTGGCGCACCCAGTATAGTACTAGTTTTTTATGAGAATATTTTTTTTTTGATTTTTTGGCCAAAATCCAAAGCTTCGCTTTTTATTCTTAACTTTATTACTTAATATCTCAAAAACTATGCATCGTAGAGTATTTTAATTAGTTGCATCGTGTTCAGCGCGTAATTTTACGTCAAGAAAACCACATTTCCAGTGTTTTTATGATTTAAGGTAAATTGACTATTTTTACGATTTTATGTACTACCGCTCACCTTCAAAAACTCGCATTTTTTTAAATCTTTAGGACCTCTAGAAATGTAAAAAACGTTGTATGGGTCAATTTTAAAGTTGATTTTTTTTAACATAAGGTAGTAAACATAACGATTTTTTTCATTATTTATGTGATTAAATTTAGAATTAATTCAGAAAATTACATTAATGACACTTTTGTGTGAATCGGTCTTTAAATTAAAGATGCATTTAGACTACTTGATCCATATTAAAATGAAAAAGAGTATAAAATTATTTTTCCAACAGAAATAAATAGGGTCAAAGTGCAAAATTTAAACCCCCATAATTTCTACATTTTCATAGACAGATTTTTTTAACATTTTTTCCATTTTCTTGACACTTATGTTTCTCTGGGGCGCGAATTCTGAAACATCTTTTACACCTTTGAAAACAGGGTAAAAATCTTTAAAAAATGTGTGCTGAAGGGTGAATAATACCTTAAAATTATTAGACAAGCATGTCTTAGCACTATTGTTATCATTATTGTGTCTTAAGCCTATTTATTTATGAATTATGATCCAAACAACCTAACCTTGAAAAAATGACATTTGTCTGAAAGCCGGTTTTATTCAATTTTACCACTTTATTGCCTCTTATCGCTATGTGAACCGGTCCAAATCAGTAAAATGAGTATTGTATCAAAATTGTGCTTGACCGTTTTTGAAATCGTAAACGAGCTCTACATTGGGGTTGGAGCTGGGGTTGTGGGGCTAGCAGTCTTGATAAATCACGGTTACAAGACCAATCAGCTGTTGAGGACCCTCACCGTCTCTGCAGTATCCTTAGGAAGCCTCATCTACGTGTTCCAAAGTTCGGCCGAATTGAAAACCCCGAGTTTGAAACAAATTATTCTCATTTCTGGTTGCGACTCGGGTTTGGGGTTCTCCCTCGCGATCCACGCCGCGAGGATTGGGTTCACCGTCGTCGCCGGCTTTCTGGACCTGGAATCCCCGGGGGCGAAGGAAATCAAGCAGTTTCACCGGAAGATAACCCAAATTCACTTAGATGTGACAAGCAAAGAGAGCATTTTTGTGGCTGTTGAAACGATAAATCAGTACCTGAATAGCAACCCGAGCTATGGTATTTTCACTTTTTGTGATTTCGTGGTTCAATTATCGTTTTTTAGAGTTCTACGCCCTTGTTAACAACGCCGGGGTTATGGTTTTTGGGGAATTCGAGTGGCAAACTGAAAGACTGATCCACCAACAAGTCCACGTCAATTTAATGGGGACTATGAACCTCTCACGGGCTTTTATCCCGCTCCTCAGGAAATATCACGGTGCACATACACAATTTTTTCTACTACCGGGTTCATTATTGTTTGTTTAGGTAGGATGATTAATATTACAAGTCATTGTTCCTTCACTTGTCTCCCTGGATTGGCAGTTTATGGGGCCACCAAAGCCGGGGTTAAGGCCCTCAGCGACGGTTTGAGGATAGAATTGGGGAAATATGGGGTGAAAGTGGTGATGCTCACCCCTGGGTCTTTTATAACTCAATCGAATATCATGGCGAAGCACCCTGAGCACGTCCATGAGATGCACCGGGGGTTCACTAAGGAGCAGAGGGGCTTCTATGAGGACTATTTCCAGCGGTACCATGCGTATTTACTCGGGATTACAGCGCCTAAAATCCCTAAACCGATCCAAGACCCCACTTTGTATCGAAAATTTGAGGAGGCTTTGTGTCTGGAAGCCCCAAAACCGGCCTACAAAGTCGAGCCTTTTCGCTACGCTTTTTACCACTTTTTATTCAAAATAAGTCCCACGCCGTTGCGAGACTTCTTCATTGTGAAATTTATGAACATGCCTGAATATCACATGACTCAGATCTGGTAGTTTTATGCCAAATTTTATTTTATTTTAATAAAAAAACACGATTTTTGAATTGTTTTATTGTCAAACATGACACGTCACTTGCTCCTCTTCGTATTTTGCGGCGTTTTTGGCCAAACCCGGGCCGATAATACCCCCCTGTCGGGCCCCACGGACCCCGGCCTCATCCAGCAAGTGAACCCCAATTACGACGCCATTAAGGGGCTGATTTGCTACCAGTGCCATTCGGTCACGACCGAATTGCAGCCCTTGTGCGACAAGTCGATTTTTAGGCTGGCGACGCGCCAGGAGAAGTACAACATGTCTCTGCAGTGCCCCTCTTATCAAGGTTTGTGCCGGTGAAACGCGACCGAATTCAAGTGTGTTTTAGGGTCTTACTGTTTCACGAAAACGCGGAAATTGAATCGACACGTGGAAACGTTCAGGGGCTGCAGTGGCCCCAAAGACAAGCACGGGAATTTATTGAAAGTGGGGTGCATGATCACGAAAAAGGAGGTTTTGTGCTTGTGTGATACGAAGTTCTGCAACAGGGCCGTCGGTTGTGGGGGCGTAGCAGTTCTTGGGCCGGTTTTGACCACAATTATTTTAGTTTTTAACGAGTTTGTTTGATTTTATTCAAATTGCCCGCGCTAAGAAGCGGTGGTGGTCGAAGTTTTTTGTCCAATTAGTGAGACAAAAATTATGTAAATAAATAAAACAATGTTTTTGGTAATTGTTTTATCACGTTTACTGCATTATTGTATTATTACAGCATCAAATTCGTTACATTTTTCTTAGTTGTGGGGCGTGACTCTAGACACTTCCCTGCTTTGCTTTGAGGTTATGTGCCTCACATTTATTCAAAATTAAATACCAAATAGGTTTTTGCAATGTCTAAAGTGGGTGCTCGAATGAAAACCTTGAAAAAGGTTGTCGAAAAAGTGAAACACGGTAACTTGCGGACGAATATCCCCGCAGGAATGGCCGCTGCTGGGCCCCCATTGGGGCCCATGTTGGGACAAGTAAGATTTACATTGATTTATCTCTTCACTTTTTTGTGATTTTAGAGAGGTATAAATATTGCCGCTTTCTGTAAAGATTTCAATGAACGCACCAAAGACATTAAACAGGGGATTCCCCTCCCAACACGAGTTAAAGTGAACCCCGACCGCAGTTACGAGCTTGTGGTTAACAAGCCCCCAGTTGTGTTTTTTCTAAAACAGGCTGCTGGTATACAAAGAGCGGCCATGGAGCCAGGTATGTGTGTTTTTTGGTGACTTTTATTTATCATTGTTGGGTAACAGGTAAAGAAATTGCGGGTAAAGTGACTCTGAAACACGTTTATGAAATAGCGAAAATAAAAAGTGAAGACCCTACATTACAAACGCGAACTATAGACGATTTATGCAGAATGGTTTGTGGGATTGCCAGGTCTTGTGGAATTGAAGTCGTAAAAGATCTAGACCCTGAAGAATATAAACAATTTCTCGCAGAAAGACAGCAAATAGTGGAACAACAAAAGAAAGAGTTGCAGGAGAAGAAAGAGGCTAAAATGTTGAGGACTGGTTGATGAGCCAGTTATTTTGTAGACTAGTGTACTTTTACAAATATAATTATAAAAAATTACGTGTTTATTATTATTTCAAAGCCTCACTGGAAGTTTTTTGTAAAACAAAAATCGATTTTTGGTTACGTAAACATAACCCCAGTTTTTGACATTTGTTCCAAGTTGGCCAACACAAAGACAAAAAATTGTTAAAAAAATTAAATTTATACACCTATTAGGTCAATGAATTAATCACAAAAACTTTGTTCGTTGTTGCTGCAACATGATGCACAATCATAATTCCATTTGATTCAAAATTCGGCAAATAAAATTGACAATTTTGTGTTGCCATGTTGGCACCCTGCGAGTRTTTATTTTGATTTTGATATCTGTCAAAATCTTCAAGGGGGTTAGATATGTCTTTGGGTAAAAGATTCATCAATTTTTGCAACGATAATGTGGTCATGATTGCGGGAATAGGGATAATAATAAGTATCCATTGGACATGGAATAGATTACAGAACGTACCAGCATTTGTTGACCCATCAGAGAAGAAAGAATTGCCCGTTATTCTTGTAAGTATTGAATTTGGGGGCCACTTTTTACTATGATTCATTGAAGGCTGCAAGATATTTAAAACAGAAAAGCGTGGATAAGTATCGCGAAATGACAGGGGCTGAGCCCAAAGAGCAGTGATTTTGTCAGGAATTCAAGCTTTAAAATTGTAAATATTGATTAGGAAATGTGAATAAATGAATAGTCTTTTAAAACGCGTTTCCGTTCTATTGTACTATATTGAAATGCTAGCTGAAGAAGACTGCTACTCAAGCAAGTTTTTGAAATTGCAATACGAGCCACGTAGCGGCGAGGTGAAAAACAAACGGTTGCTTCGAAGGTCTATTTTGCACTTTGTATTATTTAAAAAAAAAGAAAAATAAATTCAAGTTCACTCCAGTTGAATTTTTCCACTCAAGGTCAAGATTTTTCCATAACAACATTGTGACCAATATTGAAAAAATAAGTACACTAGGCTATTAAAGACGCAAAATAGAATTTTTTTGCGTAGGGTCATTATTGAGGTTTATTAAGTTATGTAATTGTTATTATTGCTTAACTTCAATAACGAAATGCCTCAATTTTTTATTTTTCTCAACAAATACAATGCAACTATTACGCTTAATTCTACCCCTAAAATATAACACTTTAATTTCCAAATACACAAAATAGAGATTTGCTGTGATAAAATCGATTTACTTTGAGAAAAACGAAAGTTTGTGTCAAATAGTCGGTAAATGGTCAATTTTGGATCGTTGATTATTATTTTGTTTCGCCGGACTTGTCGGTTTATTCATCGTTAATTGAGGTAAAGAGGTACCATTGAGTGAATTCTGAAACAAATAAAAAATACCACAAAATTGTGTTTTATTATCTTACTCGTGACCTGTCCCTTGACATCTTCTCAAAATTTTGCGAGTCGGATTCGTCAACTTTGAAATTGAAATTTTCGAAATAATCGTGTGTGAGGAGCATATCACAGGTCCACCGCTTCAGCGGGTCTTTATCCAAACATTTCTACAAGAAATCGATGTTATTCGAGAATTTTTAACAAGAATTGGTGCTCTTTTTCATATTAATGTGCATCAAGTAGGTTATAGTAGTCTAAATGAATTAGAGATGGGCAAGAATCATCGATGTTATTAAAACATCGATTTTTTGCTTACAACATCGATGACATAACATTCCTAACAATCGATGTTTTGATCAGTTTTTTTTTTAATATGAAATTATGTATTTTCATAAATTATTTTTTATGTTCAATAAAGCTCGTTGCACTGACTGTGGTGCTGTTTTTTACAATTGATATTAATAAAATGTAGGATGCAGGGAATGTAGGGACCTGTAATAACAAATCTGTCAAGTTTGACTATTTTCAAAAGCAGGACACACGATGACCGAAGCAAAAAATAGAATTAAAGGAACTAGACTTAAAAAATATTATTTTTAAACTCATTGAAAAAAAAGACTGGTAGATAAGTAGAGTGGAGTAAGTAGATGCGTTATTATATAGAAATATTGTATTGATTTTTAAATAATGTTTATTTTTGTTTTTTATTTTTGATTCACACTTATTTGACTCATTTTCAAAAAAGCAAATCAAATTGCAAACATCGATAGAATATCGTACATCGATTAAAAGTCATGAAAAAATCGATATTGTTAACATCGATGTTTTTGTTTCATTTTGCTCATCTCTAAAATGAATCTTTAATTTAAAGGCTGATTCACACAAAAAGTGTCATTAATATCATTCAGAACAAATTTAATCACATAAAAAATGACAAAAATCTTTGATGTTTGCTACCCTATGTTAATTACGTGGTTAATTTTAATTATTTTTACACATTTAAGGAAGATTGAGGTTAGGATGTTTGAATTTTCGCATGGTTGCCACCTTAATGCGTACTTCGGTGCATATTAATATGAAAACAAGTTGGTACACCTACTTTTAAAAAATCTATCGTGGTGTGGTTGCACATGGGCAACTTGACCTCCAGCGGCACCATTTGCTGGGGCACTGGCAGAATAACCCCTTGGAAAAAATCGTTATTCTTGAACGCTTGCATGTGCCTTTGCAAAAGGTCACCAACGGTCGATCTGATAAGGTAGAGCTGATCCACATCGGATTTCCCCGGCCAGAGCGCCTCCCCCTTCACCAACTCGGCCAGAACGCAACCTAAATCAATTAGCCCCCCGATTCGCCCCCTTACAAACCTATCGCCCAGACGTCCACCGGAGTCCCGTATTGCGTATCCCCGACCAGCAGCTCCGGGGCGCGGTACCACCGCGTCGCCACATAATCCGTGTAGTTCTCACCCGGACTCAGCATCCGGGCGAACCCGAAGTCGCACAGCTTCACCACCCCGGAGCCGGTCAGGAGGATGTTCTCCGGTTTGATGTCCCGGTGGATGCACCCATGGTGGTGGCAGTACCCCACGGCCTGGAGCGTCTGCCAGATGATCTGCTGGGTGAGCAAATGGGGGCACCCACGGGGGTAGCGCTCCAACTCGTTCAAAACTGTGCGTTCGCAGAATTCGAACACCAAGTGGAGGCGGCGCTTCCGCCGGAATACTTCCAAAAGATTCACGAGGTTTGGGTGTTTCAAATTCTGAAAAATTTCAGTTACACAAGGCGACAAAAAAAGTCATGTTGTGATAACTTGACAAATTTTATATCATTTTGTTCGTTTCAGTGAGACAAATCAAATGCACTAAAAAAATTTCAAAAAGTCCACACACTGAACTAAATAATTTTTTTCTAATTTAAATGAATTTAAAATACTTGAACTTTAAAAAATCATTACTCAATAACTATTAGGCCGATTTTTTTCAAATAAAGACCATTCTAAAGGGATGGACTTGCCCTTTAGAATGATATGCAATTTGAAATTAAATATTGGCAAACTTTTCTTCGAACAGTGTTCGAAGAAGTTCGAAGTAATCTAAGAAAAACTCTACGAGTATTTTTTTTTTCTTTGTCACCATTGTGTAGGGCATCTTTTTATTAGTAAAAATCCAAATTTTTAAAATAATATACCGAGTAGTTTTTAAGATATGATTTTTTGAAATTAAAGTTTGCTATTCAGGTATTGCGCCATATAGGAGAAATGCATGTTAATCTTACTTAAAATTGCATTTTTATAAAAGTATTTGTTTTAAAATTCTTCTTTTGCTTAAAAATTGTCAATTACACCTTCTTTGTTCTACTTAAAACAAACAAAGAGTACCTGCATACTAATTAAAGCAAATAAAGAGTTTTTTTGTTCTAAAAATGATTACTGATCATTGAGCAAAAAGGATCTAGAAGTTTAAAGCAGTAGCTTTAAATATAAGAATAAATCTTTTTCACATTAAATGACTTTCCATTCAGATTCCAACTTGTTCAGTTTGTTCTAGCTTTCTGAACTTTTTTTGAAAATGTTCTCAGCAAATGCTTTCTCATCACTTTCTACTGATGTTGAATGCAATAAGTCAGTTGCTTCGTGTGAAACTGTTATCACAACAACTACTACCTACAAGCTAACTGAAGCTAATCGTAATAAATAAATCAGGTGACTTATTGCATTTAACATCACTCGAAAATGATAAGAAAGCACTTGCCCAGAACATTTTCAAAAAAGTTTAGAAAGCTAGAACAAAGTGAACAAGTCGAAATCTGAATGGAAAGTGTTTTGATTTGAAAAAGATTTGCCCTTATATTTAAGGCTCGTGCCTTAAACTTCTAGATCCTCTTTGCTCAATGATCAGTGGTCATTTTTACAACAAAAAAACTCTTTATGTGCTTTAATTAGTACGCAGGTACTATTTATTCGTTTTAAGTAAACAAACATTTTTTGTTTATTCTAATTAGAACAAAGAAGATGCAATTGACCATTTTTAAGCAAAAGAAAAGTTTTAAAACAAATACTTTTATAAAAATGCAATTTTAAGTAAGATTAACATGCATTTCTTCTATATGGAGCAATGCTTGATTAGCAAACCTTAACTTAACTTCAAAAAATCATATCTTGAAAATTACTCGGTATATTTTTTTGAAAATTTGGATTACCACTAATAAAGAGATGCTCTACACGATGGTAATGATGAAAAAAAAATTACTCGTAGGGTTTTTCTTAGATTATTTCGTTTTACTTCAAACTTCTTCGAACACTGTTCGAAGAAAAGTTTGCCAATATTCAATTTCAAATCTTATATCATTCTGAAGGGCACGGCCATCCCTTTAGCAGGAAATCGGCCTAACATTTATTGAATAATGTTTTTTTAAAGTTAAAGTAATTTAAAATAATTTAAATTAGAAAAAAAAAATTTTGTTCAATAGTCCGGTCAAATTAGTCATAAAAATAGTGGTCAAATAACGAAAATTCCGACAGAGCCCTTGGGTACACCATTAGAAATAAAGTGTCAAAAGTCCCCATCGATCCCATGTGTGCTAAAAAAGTTATTCGGGGTCAAAGGTCAATATTTGACGTTTTTTAGATTTTCTTCGAAAACGGCAAGTTTTATCAAAAAAGTAGCTCTGACGAAAATTATAGATCTTAAAATTATCTACAAAATGGTCTTTATACTTTTTTTCCAAGAATCACCATTCCTGAGATATCGCGATTTTAAAAGTTGAAGGAGTAACGTTCTACATCATATGCACATACAGAGTGCGCCAGAACTCGCGCCCCAAAGACAAATGCCATGTAGGGTAGGGTACCAGGAACATAAAAAAAAATTAAAAAAATTCTATCTATAAAAATTTCGAAGTTATGAGAGTTTAAATTTTGCACTTTGACTCTTATTTATTTCTGTAGGATAAATAATTTTCCACGTTTTTTTGCTACAGGTTATTAGAAAAGGAAACAAAGAAGCTGTATCCTAAGTTGTAACTCTGTTTAATATTATTTGTAGCTTTTATTGACAAAATTTTTGTACCTTTATCAAATAATTATAAAAAAACATATACAAGGTCATCAGTATTATTAAATAGACATAAAAAAATGACAAATGTCAAAAAATAAATGTCAAAATTTTTTGTCAGATAGAATTTTTTAAACATTTTTTCAGTACTCTGGGGACTACTCAATTACTCCCTTTCAAGGAAATGCGCGATTTTTTGAACAACCTGTATGTATCACCAAATAAATTCTTTTTAATTCTAATGGAATCGAGATATTTATAAGTTTAATGAAGTAGAAGAAAAATTTCAAGTAAAATAAGATACCAGGAAAATAAAAAAAATGTTTAAAAAATTTTATCTGTCAAAAAAATTTGACATTTGTTTTTTGACATTTGACTATTTTTTATGTCTATTTAATAATACTGATGATTTTGTATATGTTTTTTTTACAATTATCTAGTAAAGGTACAAAAGTTTTGCCAATAAAAGCCACAAATAACATTGAACAGAGTTACAATTTAGGACACAGCTTTTTTGTTTCTTCTTCTAATGGCCTGTAGCAAAAAAACTTGGAAAATTATTTTCCCTACAGAAATAAATAGAG